CTTTCATTTGGGGGTTGTTTCTTTGTTTCCTCATTTTGGTTGTCTGTTTGGGTTTGTGACTATGTTTTAGGTAGATCCTCTACACCTCTCAATCTCTAGTGCAGGACAGTGTTAAAGGCTGTTTCTGACTAATTGGATCAGGCAAAGACTCAAAGCCTCCAGAAACCGCCTCTGTCTACAGACTAATAGGATTCCGACTTCAATTGCCCCCACACAGTCGTCCTCAGGTGAGAATTTTTTCAACAGGGTGGGCAGTTGCTTCTGCCTGGAGGCTAATTGTTACTTTTAATCTCTTAAGTGGCCTCAGGACAAGGTGTTTTCCAATAGGGTGTGTCCACTGTCTTCCCACCAGGCAAGGCAGATGTCTATGTGGGAAAGATGCCCTCCTCTGAGTGAGGGAATGACTCAGCCCAGAAAACTTGGGGCATCTGCTTTCTGAGCTCTATCCCCCGAGTCCCGTCCTGGGTTCTGCTCTCACAGCTCCAGTCCCCTTCACCCTCCCTCTACCAGAGCACAAGGTGGGTGGCTCCACAGGGAATTTTTGTGCATTGTTTCTTCAAGAGCAGTGATGGCGAACCTTTTGAGCTCGGCGTATCAGCATTTTGAAAAACCCTAACTTAACTCTGGTGCTGTGTCACATATAGAAATTTTTTGATATTTGCAACCATAGTAAAACAAAGATTTATATTTTTGATATTTTATATATTTAAATGCCATTTAACAAAGAAAAACCAACCAAAAAAATGAGTTCGCGTGTCACCTCTGGCACGCGTGTCATAGGTTTGCCATCACTGTTCAAGAGGGTGCTCGAACTTTCAGCTGCCACTGCCTGGCAGACAGTACCCCACTGCTTTTCAGAGCTAGATGTTATGTGGGTATCCTCCTCAGTTTGGTGCTCTCTGCTGGGAAGCCCAGCTTCAGGATTAGATCCCAGAGTTCTCAGTGGCACCCCCCACCCCCCGAGCTGAGATATCTCTCCGGGATTTCAGTTGCCGTCTGTGGGTGCCATGCCTTTCGAGTCTCCGCCCCTCCTACAGTCTCTATGTGGCCTCCACCTTTGGTCCTTGGGTATCAGGGTTCTCTCCTGTGAGTTTTCCGTTGGTTATTCAGGAAGCCTTTCCGTATTTCAGTTGTAATTCCAGCTTGTTCCTAGAGCATGTCCGTGCAGCATCCACCTACTCTACCGCCATTTTTAATCTCCTTGGCAATTAGAAATAAAGTTGTTATTAATAACCCTGTGAAGGTTTTTGTGTGGATATAAGTTTTCATTTAATTTGGGTAAATACCAAGGAGTATGATTACTGAATCATATAATTAGAGTATGTGTTGTTGTTTTTTAAATCCTCACCCGAGGATATGTTTTTATTGATTTTTAGAGAGGGAGGAAGGGAAAGAGAAACATCGATGTGAGGGAGAAACAGTGATTGGTTGCCTCCTGTAAGCACCCCAACTGGGGATCAAAATGCAACCTAGGTATGTGCCCTGACCAGAAATCAAACCAGCCACCTTTTTGTGTAGGGGACAAGGCTCCAACCAACTGAGCCACCCAGCCAGGGCAAGTATGTTTAGTTTTATGAAATTGCCAAACTATCTTCCAAAGTGGATGTACCATTTTGCATTCCCATTAGCAATGAATGAGAAGAGTTTCTATTGCTACACATCATGTCAGCATTTTGTGTTGTTGGTGTTTTGAATTTTGGCCATAGATGGGTAGTGGTATCTCATTGTTTTAATTTGGAATTCTGTAATGATATATGGTGTTAATATCTTTTCATATGATTACTTGCCATCTGTGTATCTTTTTTGGTGAGGTGTCTCTTCAGGTCTTTTGCCCACTTTTAATCAGTTTATTTTGTTATTGTTGTATTTTAAGAGTTCTTAATTTATAGTTCATTATCATATATCTCTTTTGCAGATATTTTTCCCAGTCTCTGACTTGTTTTCTCATTCTCTTGATATTGTCTTTAGTAGAGCAGAAGTTTTTTTAAATGGTAATGAAGTCCAGCTCATCACTTCTTTCATGGATCATGCCTTTGGTATTATATCTAAAAAGTCATCACAATATCCAAAGTCACCTAGCTTTCTCCTGTGTTTTCTTTCAGGAGGAGTCTTACAGGATTTTGTTTTACATTTAGGACTATGATCCATTTTGAATTAATCTTTGTGAAGGCTGCAAGGTCTGGGTCTAGATTCATTTTTTTTTACATGTGGATGTCCAGTTTTTCCAGCACCATTTGTTGAAAAGATTGTCTTTGCTCATATTGCCTTTGCTCCTTTGTCAGATATCATCTGACTACCACAGTCTTGATTACTGTAGCTTTATAGTAAGTCTTGAATTTGAGTATGTATGAATCCTCCAGCTTTTGTTGTTCTCCTTCAGTATTAAGTTTGCTATCTGGGTCTTTTGCTTGTCATATAAGCTGGAGATCAATTTATCAATGTCCACAAAATAACTTGCTGGGATTTGTATTAGGATTGCATTGAATCTATAGATCAAGTTGGGAAGAACTGACGTCTTGACAGTGTTGAGTTGTCTTGTGTATGAGCATGGAATATCGCTTCATTTATTTAGTTCTTTTTTCATTTTGTTCATTAGAGTTTTGTAGTTTTCCTCATATAGATTATGTACATATTTTGTTAGATTTATTTGTTTTGGATGTTGAAGTAAATGATGTTTTTTTATTTTCAAATTCCACTTGTTCATTATTGGTTTATAGGAAAGCAGTAGGCTTTTATATGTTAATCTTGTATCCTGCAGCCTTTTTAATTATTTTTGGTTCCAGGAGTTTTTTGTTGAGTCTTTCCATAGAAGAATAATCTACATAGTCATATCATCTGTAGATAAAGACAGTTTTATTTCTCCCTTTCCAATCTGCATGCCTTTTATTTCTTTTGTGTGTACATTAGCGATGACTTCTTGTATGGTACTGAAAAGTTGCAGTGAAAGGGGACTTCCTTTCCTTTTTCCTGATCTTAGTGGGAAAGCTTCTCACCATTGAGTATGGTAGCTGTAGATGTTTTATAGATGTTCTCTGTCAAGTTGAAGAAGTCACTATTTGTAGTTTTCTGAGAGTGTTTTATCATGAATGAATGTTGAACTTTATCAAATGCTTTTCTGCATCTATAGATATGATCATGTGGTTTATCTTTTTTAGCATGTTGATGTGATGGATTACATAAATAGATTTTTGAAATTCCTTGTGGTGGTGGTGTATATTTCTTTTTATACATTGCTGGACTCGATTGGCTAATATTTTGTTAAGGATTTTTGCGTCTATGAGAGATACTGGTCTGTTGTTTTCTTGTAATGTCTTTTTCTGGTTTCAATGTTAGAAAGTATTCCCTCTGCTTATATTTTTTGAAAAAGATTGTAGACAGTTGGTATCCAGTTGATGCTTGAACAATCTGGGGCAGTGATTTTCAACCTTTTTCATCCCATGGCACACATAAACTAATTACTAAACTTATGTGGCACACCAAAAAATGTATTTTTGTTGATCTGACAAAAAAAATTGGTGAAGTTTTTATTCATTCACACTGGGCGGCTATTATTGTGTTGGCTGTTATCAATTTTTTTTTTTTTTACAATCTAAGGGAAAAGATCAGTGCCTCTGACTAAGTAGTCAGGTATTGCATGTTATAAAAATTCTTGTGGCACTCTGGTTGAAAATCAATGATGTTGGGGATAGGGCACTGACCCCCATGCCATAGAAAATCTGTTTTACCTAAGTTGGTCTTCAGCATAGTTGGTCTTCAGCATAGTTGGATTCCCAGTTGTGGATCTAAAATACAGTTGACCCTTGAACAACATGAGTGTGAATCTGCATATAGGTGGCCCTCTCCATACTGAAACCTATTTGATTATATCGGTTTTCTTCTCAAAATTATTCCATGTTTTTCTCTTATTCTTAGAAAACTATCCAGATGTTTTTTTTAAACATGGCATTGCAGAAGACCCTGATATGGCCTCTACGTATCCCCCCAGCCTCACCTCTTTCATGTCAGTCCTCCAGCACATTAGTCTGTAACCACATGCTTTCTCTTGCTTCTGAGTGTACATATTGCTCCTTCTGCCTAGAACACTTTTTCATTTCCTCATTCTCTATTCAGTCACCTGTCTCTTTTTAGCCAAATTTTGCTTATTTTTCAGTTCCACTTTAGATTCACTTCTGTCAGAAAACCTGCAATGCCTTTTCTGTGTGGATTATTAAATTGAAGTTTTAAAAAGGTTGCCTTGCCCTAGCTGGTTTGGTTCAGTGGATGGAGCATCGGCCTGCAGACTGAAGGGTCCCAGGTTCGATTCCGGTCAGGGGCACGTGCCTGGGTTGTGGGCTCGATCCCCTGTGTGGGGCATGCAAGAGGCAGCCAATTAATGATTTTATCTCATCATTGATGTTTCCATCTCTCTCTCTCCCTCTCCCTTCCTCTCTGAAATCAATAAAAGTATATTTTAAAAAAATGTTGTCTTATTTCAAAATATGACTTTATGTGCAGAAAGAAAATGGTGGTTATATATAAAAATCAATGGAAACTTTACTGAGATATGAACTGTATCCAGAAAACTAGCAAGCAAATAAAACAGTATGCTCAGCTTTCAGAATCTTTTAATGGTTTATGGAAAACTACAATGTAATTTAATTGTGTCTTTCTCCATAAAGTACCTGCTAGCCTGCCTGGATTTGACCCCAAGGACATTGTGGCCGTGCTGAATGAGGAAGGAGGCTACCATCAGATCGGACCAGCAGAGTCTTGCACTGATTTCTTCCTTATGTCAGTGACCATAGCGTTTGCCACCCAGTTGGAGCAGGTGACACTTTTTCTTAGTCATAGCTTAATAATTGTTGGGTCTGGTATTTACAAATTAGTCTGTTAGTGTTTCTTGGATGCAGCACAGTAAGCAACCTGAATATTGTATACTTTCTTCAGTCCCATGGAGGTGACACAGGGGCCCAGGTTGCTCTGTGAACACAGTTTGCATGACAGCTGAGGGACACAGAACTTGGGGAATACACCACTTTTATTGTTTGTAGTCTTGGTCTTTGTCCGGAAGACATGTTACCTCAGCTCAAGGTTACTAGCTGCATAAGCAGCCCTAGGAAATGGGCGAGGGTGGTCAGGACCTTGCAGTCTTGGCACAGTCAGAAAAAATGTGCAGGGGTGCTTGGGGCCCATGGCAGATTGCCTCATCCCCAAATGGCTCAACATGAAATTCTATGTTATTCCATTATTGTCCTCAGGATCAAGCCCAGTGTTTTATGAAATTATGTTGACCTAGAGCAGCTGAAAGAAATTAATATTTTCAAAAATCTTCTATATATATAAAAGGCTAATATGCAAAGTGTTCCCTCAGGAGTTTGACCGGGAGACCGGGAGTTTGATCGCTTGCTATGATGTATGCTGACCAACGGGGTGGCACGGAACGAAGGAAGGCCCCGGCCAGCAGCTGGAAGGCCCAGATTGGTCCTGATCGCCAGCCAGGCCTAGGGACCCTACCCATGCACGAATTTCATGCACTGGGCCTCTAGTAGAGATTACGGCTTATGACTGAAATTTTGATTAGATTCTTCACTTTCTTAGAGTTGTAAAATTCCCACATAGTACAGATTCACAAGTGAAATGAGTTAGTGACCACATATTTATCTGACTTGTAAGATTTATCAGGTAAAGATTTTTCTCAGGAAAAATGTTTAACTTTGTCACACAATTCAAGCCCACTACAGAAAGCACTTTAATTTTAAGAACTTTACTCTTTTTCTCCTAATTTTGTACTTTCATTTTTCTCATTGACACTTTATATATGTACTTTTGTCCTTTCCCCCAAAATAATTTTTCCCCTGAAAATAATTTGTTCATTTTTTTTCCTGTGCTTATGGATTACCCGAGAACAATATGCCACTCTGGTTGGGGGAAAGCCAAGTCCACTCTGGTTTCATTAACCACATTAGAACACACATTAGATAATAAGTTTACTGTATTTTTACTGTGTTATTAAATATCTGTGAAACATTTTAAATAGTCGCTTTATTTTTAATATATATTTTTAAATCTTTATTGTGGCAAGTATTACAAATGTCCCCCCCATTGTTCCCCCTCCACCCAGTTCCCGCCCCACCCCAGGCCACCCTATTGTCTGTCCATAGGTAATGCATATATGTTCTTTGGTTAATCTCTTCCTGCTCTTCCCTCTGAGTTTCTTCAGTCTGTTCCATGTTTCCATGCCTCTGATTCCATTTTATTTATCAGTTTATTTTGTTCATTAGATTCCTTGTTCCTTTATTTTTATTTTTTAGATTTAATTGTTGATAGATATGTATTTATTGCCATTTTATTTTTTCATATTTTTTATCTCTTTTTTCTTCTTCCTCTTGTTCCTCTTAAAAAATACCCTTCAACATTTCATATAATACAGATTTGGTGGTGATGAAACCCTTTAGCTTTTTCTTGTCTGTGAAGCTCTTTATCTGACCTTCACTTCTTAGTGATAGCTTTGCTGGGTAGAGTAATCTTGGTTGTAGGTCCTTGCTACTCATCACTTTGAATATTTCTTGCCACTCCCTCTGGCCTGCAAAGTTTCCGTTGAGAAATCAGCTGACAGTCGTATAGGAACTCCCTTGTAGGTAACTCCTTTTTTTCTTGCTGCTTTAAGATTCTCTCTTTGTCTTTAACCCTTGGCATTTTAATTATGATGTGTCTTGGCGTGGGCATCTTTAGGTTCCTCTTGTTTGGGAGATGCTGCACTTCCTGGACTTGTAAGTTCTATGTCTTTCACCAGGTAGGGGAAGTTTTCTGTATTAATTTCTTCAAATAGGTTTTCAATCCCTTGCTCTCTCTCTTCTCCTTCTTGCACACTACCCCTTCTTTATTGTTGTTAATCCTCACCCAAGGATATTTTTTCCATTGATATTTAGAGAGTGGGAAGGAGGGAGGGAGGAGAGAGGCGAGAGAAAGCAAGTGGAGAGAGAAGAGAGAGTGCAAAAGAGAAAGAAAGAGAGAGGGAAGAGAGAAAGAGAAACATTGATGTGAGAGAAACACATCTAGTAGTTGCCTCCTGCATGCACCCTGACCTGGGCCAGGGATCGAACTTGCAACTCAGTTACATGCCCTTGACTATAACCCTTTGGTATGGCCAGTGCTCTAACCACTAAGAACACGGCCAGATCTTTGTGCCCCTTTGATGCAAGTGTTAGCAAGCTTGATAGTGTGCACACTACCCCTTCTTTATTGTTGTTAATCCTCACCCAAGGATATTTTTTCCATTGATATTTAGAGAGTGGGAAGGAGGGAGGGAGGAGAGAGGCGAGAGAAAGCAAGTGGAGAGAGAAGAGAGAGTGCAAAAGAGAAAGAAAGAGAGAGGGAAGAGAGAAAGAGAAACATTGATGTGAGAGAAACACATCTAGTAGTTGCCTCCTGCATGCACCCTGACCTGGGCCAGGGATCGAACTTGCAATTCAGTTACATGCCCTTGACTATAACCCTTTGGTGTGGGCCAGTGCTCTAACTACTGAGAACACAGCCAGATCTTTGTGCCCCTTTGATGCAAGTGTTAGCAAGCTTGATAGTGTCTCAGGGGTCCCTTGGAATTGCCCTCATATTTTAAATTGTTTTTTTCTTTTGCTCTTCCAATCGGGTGTTTTCTGCTACCTTGTCTTCCAGTTCACTGATTCAGTCCTCTGTTTCATCTAATCTACTGTTGATTCCCTCTAACGCAGTGGTTCTCAACCCTTTAAATATAGTTTCTCATGTGGTGACCTCCAACCATAAATTATTTTCGTTGCTACTTCATAACTGTAATGTTGCTACTGTTATGAATCATAATGTAAGTATCTGATATGCAGGATGGTCTTAGGCGACCCCTGTGAAAGGGTTATTTGACCGCCAAAGGGGTCGCGACCCACAGGTTGAGAACTGCTGCTCTAACGTATTCTTTATTTCACTCATTGTATTCTTTAATTCTCACTGGTTCTGATTTGTTTTCTATATCCATTTTATGTTTCTTAACTCTTTGTTGAAGTTCTCACTGAGAACATCTTTTCACCAGTGTTTTAAACTCTGTATCTGGTTGATGGCTTGTCTTCATTTTGTTTAGTTCTTTTTCTAGAGTTTTGTCCTATTTCTTCATTTGGTACATTTTTCTGTCTTATAATTTTTAGCTTGCTTCCTGTGTTTGTTTCTATGTATTAGGTAGATCTGCTATGTCTCCCAGTCTTGGCAGGGTGGTTTTATATAGTAGGTGTCACGTGTGGCCCAGTGGCACAGTCCCCCTGGTCATCTGAGCTGGATGCTCCAGGGGTATCTCTGTGTGGGTTGTGTGTGCCCTCCTGTTGTATTTGAGCCTTGATTGTGGTTGGCACATCAATGGACCCTTATGTATACTGGTTGTGAGGACTGGCCGTGACTGGCCATGACTTAGTCAATGAGCTGTTGTGCTTGGGTTGACTCCATGTAGCAGGATTTGCTTTAGTGGGGTTGTGGTGTGTACCAAGTCCGCCCTTTGTGTTTGTTGTTTGTGGAGTTGGTTCAGTGGTGCTCTGGTTTGCTCTGAAGCCAGTTACTGGGTGTGTTGGTGCTGAGGTTTCATGGGAGGGGCTCTGATGCAAGCCAAGGTCAGACACTAACCTATGCCTGACCCCAGGGCCACTTGTTAGCAGCTACAACTTGATATGCAGTTGATTGCCACTTCTGTTGGGCTTGGAGGCTCCTGGGAGAGGTTATGCCAGGCGTCCTCAACCTTTTTAAACAGGGGGCCAGTTCACTGTCCCTCAGACCGTTGGAGGGCCGGACTATAGTTTTAAAAAAAAACTATGAACAAATTCCTATGCACACTGCACATATCTTATTTTGAAGTAAAAAAACAAAACGGGAACAAATACAATATTTGTATTTGCATGTGGCCCGCGGGCCGTAGTTTGAGGACCCCTGGGTTATGCCATGAACGAGGCTGGCTGCCACTAGTGCTGGGCTTGGGGCCACTTAGGTGGAGGTACAAGGCCTGCCAAGGCCAGCTGCTGCTTGTTTGGAGTTGGTGGACCTCTGAGAGGTTTCAGGAAAGTCCAGTGTGAAGTGAGGCAAGCCACTGGTGTGGAAAAGCTGCTGAAAGTGTTTTGGACCAGGCCTGGGAGTGGGGTGGGAACTCAGGGGATGACCGGGGAGGGGCGAAGGCTGTTAGCCTGGTTAGTGCAGAGCTAGGATTTGGTGTCTGCTGGCTGAGTGGAGGGAAGACTCAGCGAAGGAACAGTAATGTCTACCAACACTTATGTCCTTGGAAAAAGCTGCCCTCACCTGTGCCTGTAGCCCTGGCCCTGAAGCCAGTCATTTAGTTCCTCCCTGTATGCCCCTAATGATGTGTGAGCTACTCCCCCTGTGCTGGAGCTCAGAGCAAGTGAGTTTCAAAGGGAGTCTGACCTGGACCCTTTAAGACCTGAAGCTCCTAGGTCCCAAGCAACCCGTTGTCTTTGTCAGACACAGTTCCCTCTGGTTTTCATAGCCAGATGTTATGGGGACTTCTCTTCCCAGCACTGGTGTCCTAGGCTTAGGAACCCGGTGCAAGGCTGGGACTTCTCGCTCCTTGGTGGAGACTTCTGCAGCTGAGATATGCCTCCTGATTCTGAATTGCCACCCTGTGGGTTTGGGACCTGCCTATTTCACAATCTCTGCCCCTCCTACTAGTCTTGCCATGGTTTCTTTATATCCTTAGTTACAGGAATTCTGTTCAGCTCCTCTTTGGGTGGTTCTTAGTAATGGTTATTCTATAATTTTGATGTCGTCATGGGAGGAGGTGAGCAATAAGTTTACCTATCCTGCCATCTTGACCACCTCTATTACTTTATGCTTTATCTCTGTATATAAAAGCCTAATACGCAAATAGTCCCTGCGGGAGTTCGACCGGGAGACCGATCGCTTGCTATGAAATGTGCTGGCCATCAGAGGGCGGTGCAGACGAAGGAAGGTCCCAGCCAGCAGCTGGCAGCCAGGGAAGGGAGACCCTGGCCAGCAGCCGGAAGGAAGGCCCTGGCCGGCAGCCGGAAGGCCCCGATCGGCCCTGATTGCCAGCCAGGCCTAGGCACCCGACTCATGCACGAATTTTGTGCACTGGGCCTCTAGTATGAAATAAAAAATAATAAACAACTACTGAATATTTACTATTATTCATTTTAATCTGTTTTAATCTAAGTGGTTATAGTACTTTCATATAAACTGTCCAAACTGTCCTATAACTTTTTTTATACTTAACGGTATATCTCAGGTACTTTTCATGTTACTATATCATCATTTAGCAGACACTCTGTATGATTGCTATAATACATTTAAGCCATCTCCTAATAATGAACATATCAATTGTTTATAGTTTACTGTTATTTTTAACAATGTTCTAGTGAACAATTAAAGGTCTGATAGGAGATATTTTATATTTTATGGGACAAAAATCCTATTTCTCCATCCTATGTGTCCATGAAACTACCAACTTTGAGAACACTCCTAGTGCAGAAGGCATCCATTGGCAATTATTAATTTATAGGTCTCCAAATTTTGATATAGTAGCTAAAAAGCTTTTATGTTTTTAATCAAAAGCCTGGACCAAGGTGTTATATTGAATAGCCTGGGTTAATAATTTTTTAAAACCTCCTCTCATTTATGAAGAGGATGACAAAGTAAGGAAAAGATGAAATAAGGTATGTGGAAATAAGGAAAGCTTAATTTAAGACACTTAATCATTTTTTTTTAAAAGAACTTGGATGTATTAACGGATCAGTTTAATGAAATGTAAGACAATATAAATCTATAAAATTATTTTTTTCTCTGTTCTTTTCTCAGATAAACTTCTCAAAATTAAGTAAATTAATAATTTGGATGCAATTTGGCAGAGATTTACATACTTTGAGTGATTAATTTAAGACGTGAAATTAAAAAAAGCAGTAACATTTTTGCAAATATTTTTGGAGTTTATCAGACATACTGAGCATGTTTGGTGGTTTACGAAGTAATCCTTTTTTTTTTTATTCTTAAATGTTTAGTTAATTCCATGTACCATGAAACTTCCAGAAAGACAGCCCGAGTTTTTCTTTTACTATTCTTTACTGGGAAATGATGTTACAAATGAACCCTTCAATGATTTGATCAACCCAAACTTTGAACCAGAGAGAGCGTCTGTTCGAATACGAAGCAGTGTAGAAATTCTTCGTGTTTACTTGGCTTTTCAATCTAAACTACAGGTACGTACTGCAGAAAATTGTTTTTATTCGAGATGAGTTTTTTAAGCATTAGAGAGGTATTTCAATCATATTATTTCAGTGGTGAAGGTCATTTTTCTGCTACATCTTTAAACTTTTTAGTAATTATCCTGACTTGTAAAGTCATAGCATAGTAGTTACTTTAGAATTTTAAGAGATGTACCTCTTTCCTAGTTATTGTGAAAAGAATTGTGTCAATTATCAGTCCTTTATAATAAAAAATTATACCTGGAGCCTAAAGCTGTGAGCACAGTGAAGGTTTTGTTACTGTTGATGGAAATAGTAGCCATAGGCACACAGATCCCACTTTAGAGTTCAGAATTTATATACCTATTGATATTAAAAGCAAAGAGATAATACAATTTTTAAAAATCTGCCCCTGAATTGAGTATTTTTTTTAAACGAATTTTAAAGTAGACTCTAAAAGTGAACCTTACTTAGTGAAAACTGTTTTATTTTTATTACAATTGCTTTAAATCAGACTGACATGGGGTGGCCATCTATAGGGTTAGATAGTCATTTGTTTATAGTGAAGTGATCAGGTGTGTGTGTTGGGTGGGAGGTGAAAAGAGACATTAAGGAATTTTAGTAGAACTAAATTTTAGAGGTTGTTCTGCTAAATCCAAGATATTTAGAAAGCTGAAGGCTTTATGAAATGATAAAATGCAGGAAAAAGCACATTTAATTTTATTCTGTATCTAACATATCAATCCTTACCTAAAGTACTGACTTGTTAGTTTGATTCTCATGGACATTGAAGTCATAAAAATTCATTCTTTTTAGCTCATTAAAATCATCACACCTAGCAACATTAAGACTAAGTTATAGGTAATTTCTGATATTAGAACTAAAAATATTTTCATGTTGTGATTGCTTATTGTTCAATATGAATGGTAAGCTTGCCAAGGCTTTGATATAGTAAGGGAAAAGAATATAGTTATGTAACATGTACCTGAAATTGCCTTTTTGCTGTTGCAAAAGGTGGTAATGTTGAAGTTTTGATTTGCTATTAGTGGTTATTAGTGATTAACAATACATTTCATCCAGGGGTATTCTCTTTTACCTTTTACTGTTAAGCACTTGCTTTATAAATAAAGTCTGAAGAGCAAGAAAAGAGAAAGAAACATTCCATGTATTTTATGGGTGAATGAAACAAAATTATTTGAGGTTCTTTAATTTCCAAATGTGGCTGGATCTACTAACTTATTTTTTAGAGCTGTGTTTAAATTAATGTTGAAATAGAAATAGAAAAAAATGTTGAGGTATTTGTTTTTTATTTAAATTCATGTACACATGATACCATTTGCATATGTAAAATAGCATAGTAAAATATTAAAGTTACCGTAACTCACGAAAGAGACAGAAAAAAAAAAAGGTTGTATCAGATGTGTACAGTACTGAAAGAAAAAAAATGAAAAGGAAGTAATAGTTTTATTATTGAGTTCTTGGTAAACTGTGTGCTTGATCAGTAGTTTTAACAATCTCATGGGAATCTATTACTTAGTTGCTGCAGGTTAGTAAGATAACCTGCGTTATACTTGCCTTCTATGGAAGGTAAGTTTTTGTTAAGTTTTATAACTTTTTAAGTTTGTATTTTAGGAGAAAGAAGAAAACGTAAAACCCTGTGTTGATTTTCTCTTTCATATTAGATCCATCTCTGCTGTGGAGACCAGTCACTTGGAAGTACAGAAATACCTTTAGCAGGATTACTGAAAAAGGGTAGTACAGAAATCAACCAGCGCCCAGTCACAATTGAGGGTGCTTTTACCCTTGACCCTCCAAACCGAGCCAAACAAAAGCTTGCACCTATTCCTGTGGAGCTGGCCCCAACTGTGGGAGTGTCTGTGGCTCTGCAGAGAGAAGGCATAGATGCACAGGCAAGTAGTGACCCTCCTTCCCCTACGGCAGCTTCTCCGGTTTCACTCATGATTCTTCACACAAGTCAAACTTCAAAAGAGTTTCCCAGCATTAAGAAAGTGTTTATTACTCTTAATCGGTAGCCTACATTTTATGATAGGTCCTCTCGGAAAAGACATTTCTGAAAAGCACTGTTGCTTCCACTGCTGTAGTATAGTGACTGTATCCAGAGCCTTTGGGTATAGTCTTCTCATGGAGTGGAAACCATTCTCCTGCCCCCAACTCATAGTCAGTGACTACGGCAGAAAAGGAGCTCCAGTAAAGAGAACGTTTTCTGGAAATTTGCATTAATGGTATTTATTTGGGTTGATTCACCTGAGTTAACATAATGTTCTTGATGAATTGGGGTTTATAGTTCCTATACTCTTCTTTAGGCAACAGAGATGGGCATTTATTTGAACATATATGGTTTTTTATTGTATACATCCCCCAACCAAGTTTAGAATCCTGTTCTTTTAAAGAACTGATCGTTATATAGTTTATGAATTAAAGATTGAAAAACTGAAGTGAGAGCTTAATATATATATATATTTTAGAGGATAGTAGACCAAAGGAGAGGAAGAAAATCCTAGTAGACATTTGATGTGTGTTTTTTAAAGGAATTTAGGCCTTAGTAGAAATAATCATTCCCAGGGACACCTATGTCTGACTTCTTTTATCTGGTATTCCTCTTACCCATTAGGATACATTTTGGTTCTTAGCTCTGGATATATTTCCTTCCTGTTCATCTTCCTTTTTCTGGTCCTAGATGCTATAAGGATATTTGCAAATTATGAAGAAAAATAGACTAGGAATATCCAGACTGGGAAAGGAAGCTTATATTTTTAAAAAACAACATCATTTTTTGCTTAATTATCAAGGAAAGTTCTTTGCAAATTATACTTTATTTAAAAATTGTTTTTAGTCTTTAATTCAATTAAAGACCCAGAATGAACATGAGTCACAGCATTCAAAGAAGAGAGTTTTAACTCCCATAAAGGAGAAACTTACTGAGCCAAAGTCACCAAGTGTGTCTCCTGTTATGCCTCACAACCAGTCACCTCCAACAAAAGATGATGCAACAGAAAGTGAAGTGGAAAGTTTACAGTATGATAAGGACACAAAACCAAACCCAAAGGGTAAGATTCTTTTTTACAGACCTTTTAAATATAGATTTTGTAGCCATCTAATAAATGACTTTGAGACTTTTCATGGGATCTAAGTAAAAATTCAGTTTTTTAAAGAACCAATAATGTGTGGCAATGTAAAAAAAATCAGTTTAAAGTAATTGCAATTTACTTAACTTCACTATATACCTTGCAAAAAGGTAAGAAAAATTTTTCTTTTACTTTTGCACTAGAAATAGTAGCCTGTTCAAAAGAAATTAAAGAATATAGTTCTTTCAGATAGTTTTAACTAGCAAATTCTCAAATATCTTGAATACATTGGAATTTTAGACGAAAGAGTTACTGTTTCTTCAAGTAACCTTGTAGTAATAATTTTTATTCTAACAGTTAAGAGAGAGTCTGAGAAAGCATATTTATCTGGCTTTATAAAAATTTTCCACCCATTACATAAAGATCCACAATCATATTTAGTAGCATAAGTAAGTAACGTAGTGCTGGATTATGAGTTAGAAATTTGGGAGTGAGTTGTAGCTCTGTCACTGAGCAACTGTACAACTTGGGCCACTCACTAAAACATCTCTGGCCTATAACAGGATTAAACTAGATAGCTCTGTCTTTTCAAGTTTTAGATCTTTGTTAAACTATGTCATATGTACCTAAAATAACTAAAACTACTTTAAAAAGTAGGGATGGGGCCTAAACTGGCAGTCGGACATCCCTCTCCCAATCCAGGACTGCTGGCTCCTAACTGCTCACCTCTCTGCCTGCCTGATCGCCCCTAACTGCCACTGCTTGCCAGCCTGATCGCCCCTTAACTGGTTCCCTGCCGGCCTGACCATCCCTAACTGCCCCCCCTGCTGGCTTGGCTGCCCCCTAACTGCTCCCCTGCCGGTCGGCCTGATCGCCCCTAACCACTCTACCTGCCTGCCTGATCGCCCCTAACTGCCTCTGCTTGCCAGCCTGATCGCCCCTTAACTGGTCCCCTGCTGGCCTGGTTGTCCCCTAACTGCTCCCCTACTGGCCTGGTTGCCCATTAACTGCCCCCCTGCCAGCCTGGCCGCCTCCTAAACTTCTCCCCTGCTGGCCTGCCTGATTGCCCCTAACCATTCTACCTGCCTGCCTGATAACCCCTAACTGCCTCTGCTTGCCAGCCTGATTGCCCCCTAACTGGTCCCCTGCCAGCTTGGTCACCCCTGCCGGCCTGGTTGTCCCCTAACTGCCCCCCGGTAGGCCTGATCACCCCTAACCACTCTACCTGTCTGCCTGGTCGCCCCCTAACTGCCCCCCTGCCAGCCTGGTCGCCCCCTAACTTTCTAGAAGGAAGTTAGACGTCTGGAAAATGTCCAGTCGACCTGGTCTAATTAGCATATTACCCTTTTATTAGTATAGATGCACATAAAGAGGACGCTTTTTTCCTATACAGTTCTACAATGGGAATGCTTGCATAATTTGGGACAAGTCACTTTAAGATATTTATCCTATACAGTTCTACAATGGGAATTAAAGCTTGCATAATTTGGGACAAGTCACTTTAAGATATTTATGCCTCAATTCCTATGTTTATAAAACCAAATAGTCAAGTTCCTTGCTTGAAGGTCGAGATATCTTTAAATTATTTAGATAACTTAAGAGAAAGTGTTAGCAAATGGAATTTAAAACCAAACCAAACATTTTTACCTTTATTTTAGCCATCAGTTCTTCTGTACCTGCTTTGCCGGCCCAGCCGGTGACAGCATCCAGTGCTCCGGAAACAGCTTCAGGACAGAAGATTGCTGTTCCAGCCACATCACACCATTTTTGCTTTTCGATAGACCTACGGAGTATCCATGACTTGGAAGTTGGTTTTCCAATCAACTGTATTTTAAGGTATGATTTGATTTGGTTTCAAAGTATTTTCCAAGGAGAAATGCCTTTTCTCTATTGGAGAAGTTGCAGAGAAAGAAATGCCACCAGAGAAGTTATAACATTTGTTGAATCAGAGTATTAGAAGGGGGTAAGGCTGTGTCCCAGTGACTTCAGAGTTAAACCAGGCTGGTATTGGTGGTGTGAGAGGTAACAGTCTTCACTATGCTAATGTAATAATTGAAAGAACTTATAGTAATTTATTAATGGTTCTATTAAAATACGGTGACTCTTGAACTTAAAGTGTGTTGTTCCTGGAAATAGTGCCACAAGTCAAAATAATGGAAGGCATCTGATTTTTCTGTAAAAACTTTATCATAATGTGAGGTTATATTCCTCAAAACTACGTTTTATAGCTGTGAATCTAAAAAACATACTTTGTGAACTGTAAGTGGAATGTGTCCACACTTTACAATATAAAAAATTGAAAATGTACATTTCAGTCAGTTAAATGGCTTTATACAGTATTTTGTTTTTAGTAATATTACATTTTCATAGATTCTTGTGGCTAAGATAAAAATTAAATATACAATACTGTGTTTTAGTTTGGAGTAATTTCTCCTCATACATTTTTTTGGAGCAAGCAGTGGCATTTGTAATAAAGGTGTTGGTCTTTATGTGATTAAAGTGAGGAAGTCTTTCTGTCCCTTTGGATTGCCATTCCCAGGAAGTCAGCAAATGCACATTGCTTCCTGCCACGATTTGAAGCAGACCTGCTTTTCAGATGCATAAATCAGCTCATACTTGCATGTAATTTTTCAACTCTTTGACTTCTCATGAAGTTGTTTCCAAAATCTTCTTGAGCTTTGGTGTGAATAATGGACAGAATTAAAGGGACCCAGTGTGTAGTGTGATGGTGAATTCATAGAATGGAAATCTTTCATCGCAGCTCAAGTTGTGCATTTTACCATGTTAGAGGCTGAGAGTCATTGCTAAAGTGTTGTTTTTATTTGATAATTGAAGGCAAGAAAAAGGTTTTCTCTCACGGCCATAGCTTTTCTCAGAGTTTGTATAACATCTCTTAAAATTATTTTTAGAAATAGAATTATTACTTATTTTTTACCTCTGTTTTTTGTCTTTACTCCTTTAACTGAGATCTCTCTGCTGCCGCTAGAGGGAATCTGATCTCAGAATACCTACAGAGGACTGTGGCAGGAGAAGAGAAACAGGGACGATCTAAAATGGGAACCCAGTCTTTGTTTAATGGAGGCTTATTTGGAGTGCTTCAAAATGACTCTTTCTTATTTTTGTCATTGCCTTCAAAATACCAGCATTCTCTTTCTCCCCCAGAGCCTCATTAAGAAATTATCTGTAAAGCAACTTGGGAAATAGTTCTATGCTATTAATGCATTTGCTCTATAATTTCTATAATTTTCATATCCACACTGAAAACATTTGTATAATTTTTAAGTTGGTGATAAGAGCAAAATCATAATGTGTTTGTATCATTTATCTATTTAAAAATTCTGTTTGCCCATAATATTCATAGTAACATTCATTTTAACATACTATAAATTTTATCTGTAATTTTATCTAAGATTTTGTTTTTCTGAAATTCTAGGTACTCATATCCATTCTTTGGAAGTGCAGCTCCTATTATGACTAATCCTCCTGTTGAAGTTCGGAAAAACATGGAAGTTTTTCTTCCCCAATCTTACTGTGCATTTGATTTCGCAACTATGCCTCATCAGCTGCAAGATACCTTCTTAAGGTAATACATGCACTACACTGTGTGTATGATATTATCTTCTCAAGTCAGCTCTTAAAATTTTGTATCTTATAAACAAGAGGAATTTCTATAGGTTTAAATCCATAACAGTTTATGCATTTGAGAATCTAGAAACAAATATACTAATAAAGTCTGTGACATTTGTGCTTCCACCACAAAGTTTTATCTTACTTGCCTAAGCTTAGATATTAGAACTTTGTTAAAACAATGTAAGTAATGAAGGAACTTTGAAAAGTAGTCTGTCTTACTAGTTTTTATTGCTGATTCACTGAATGACTGTAGTATATTATTTCTATTTTTTTATTTATATGAAATGGAGGTGTTAGCTCAGCTATCTGAAATAGACTTGTGAAGGAAAGTGAGATCTGTGAAGTGTCACTTTACGTGCTCAGAGTATCAAAATTCAAGATGTATATTTTAAAAGGAAGAATGAAGGATAATTAAAATTTATTTGTGGGAATAATAGTGTTTAAAGCAGCAGTTCTCAACCTGTGGGTCACGACCCCTTTGGGGGTCGAATGATCCTTTCACAGGGGTCGCCTAAGACCATCGGAAAACACATATATAATTACATATTGTTTTTGTGATTAATCACTATGCTTTAATTATGTTCAATTTGTAACAATGAAAATACATCCTGCATATCAGATATTTACATTACGATTCATAACAGTAGCAAAATTACAGTTATGAAGTAGCAACAAAAATAATTTTATGGTTGGAGGTCACCACAACATGAGGAACTGTATTAAAGGGTCGCAGCATTAAGAAGGTTGAGAACCACTGCACTATAACCTCTGAGCCTCAGTTTCTTCGTCTGTAAAGTGGGAGGGGGTAGAGTAACAGTGTCTATCTGTGCCCAGTGCCTGAAACACCTGACTGATAGGAGGAGCTCAACAAATAGTCACCTGGAAGGTGACCTGGAGTGAATACAGACTTAGACCAAGATTTTCTTGAACATTGTAAACTTAATTCATTTTAATCTCTGCATGCCCCGTGACCCTAGCACAGGACCGGCACAGGACTGGTGCGGGAGAGCACTTGCTGGGAGAGTTGGAAGCAGCCATGGATGGGCAAGTGGGCACAAAGATGTGTGCACGGGTGGGTGGATGGACAGGCATGTAGCTGGATCAATGATGGATGGAGAAGTCGGACATCTGGGTGTATAAATGTGTGCTAAGTGGGGGGAGTGGAGGGATGGTGGGTGGGTGGGGTGAGGGTAGAAGAAATAAATACGGGACACGCCCTCATTGTGATCTGTCTGCTGGAGGGCTTCAAGATGGAGTGAACCCAGAAAGCACGTATCAGCAGGCCAAGGCCCACGTGAGGCAGCAGCTCTGCCTTTACGAGTGTGTTCTCCAGGCTAACCCACACGGGGATGGTGTGGCCAGGACACAGGTGACCTGCACCACTGTGTGCAGTAATGACATGTGGAGGCGGCTTCGACTTTATCACTCCGAGCAGGAGGGAGGCCTGGACTAGGGCCTCACACCTTAGAACAGCACCTGGTGGGGGCAGGCGATTCGTCCGTACCTTGGAATTCTGTGTGGCCATTAAAAATGGAACGGCTCTTTATGTCTTGAGTGGAATAAACTCTGATATATCATTAAGAGGGGGGGAAAAATCAAGGTTCAGCTAGTGTGTGTACAGTGCTTTCGTTTTCTGGTTTTTAAGGGGTGGCAGGGAGAAGACACGTAGATATTTGCTTCTCCAAGATGAGCGCCCCCCCCACCCCCCGCCGCCAGGAGACTGGTGACTGGTCCTCCCAGGAAGGGCGCCGGGCCTGGGGAATGGCCAGCACTTCACCGGATCCCCAGCTGAAATCTAAAAGTTGTATTGAAATTTCTTCCCTTACGCTACCCCATCAATAGCCACTTCCAGAGAATGAAGGTTTGGTAAAATTTTTATTTACTTGGAGGATCTGGGAACAGGTGTTTTAGAGAACCAGCTATTCCGGGTAAATGAAAATTCTTTGTGTTTCAACTCCTGTTATTCAAAATCTCTTTTAAAAATTAACACTGTCATAAGTAGAATAATATGAAAATAATCAAATTCTTACTATTTGAAGTTATTTTAATTCTGTTTGTTGTGAATGCTAACTTTTATTGCCCTGCTCTGTAGACTGAGAAGTTTTAGATTTACCTAAGTGAAAACTTCAGATGTGGCAGTGCTTCGTTACACTTTAATTTCTTTTAAAACCTGTGAGATTAGTTGATTAATGAAAGGATCCTACACAATTAAAACTCTTAAAGTTTTGTTTGACCAAGGGTTTATAGAATATATTTGACTTAGACAAAGCCATGGGTTTTTTATTGCCAAGGTTTTATTTTTTTCTAACATTTTGTTTTGTTTTTATTTAATTAATACTACAGAGAGGTACTCATATCAATAAAAATATAGTTAACCTACTTATAGAAATTAGCCAGAGGCAATGCTCATATCCAGTAGAAGATTTATGTACAAGTGTGTTCAAAAGTAGAAAAACAACTCAGAATAACCTGTATATAGTCAAGAATAGGGGAATTAAGTTTATTTCACTACATAAATTCTTTAGTACATTTTACAGGCATTAAAAGTTACGTTTTTGAATTAATGTTTATGACAGAGAAAATGATTTTGATATAAATCGGAAAAGAGGCCCTGGCCGGTTTGGCTCAGTGGATAGAGCGTCGGCCTGCAGACTGAAGGGTCCCAGGTTCGATTCTGGCCGAGGGCATATGCCCAGGTTGCGGGCTCGATCCCCAGTGAGGGGTGTGCAGGAGGCGGCCGATAAATGATTCTCTCTCATCATTGATGTTTTTGTCTCTCTCTCCCTCTCCCTTCCTCTCTGAAATCAATAAAAATATATTTTTAAAAAATAGGAAAAGAGGACAAAACGGTATGGTCTTAATGTACATGATTACATGTGTATCTACATATACATAAAACAGAGGAAGGAACGTAAGTAAATTTCAGCAGTAATAAGCTATGGGCAGGGAGATTAAAATTTCTCCTTTATTTTGTACTTTTCAATTTTTCCAAGTAATCTATAGGTCCTTTTATAGTAAACAAAGGTATGTATTTAATAGGGTGTTAGTGATCAAATGAAATCATGTATATGGAAGGTCTTGAAGCCCTTAAAAGCTGCTGCAGTTTCAGTAGCAAGTGTCAGATGCAGGAAATGTTTTCTACTCAATGCTATAGTGTTGGAGACATAAGAGGAAGAATAACATAACATGTTTCCATGAGTTTCAATATATTTCTGATTTCATTTGTAGGTCAAATAACAGGATAATAAATCTTTCTTACACCATGACTCTAGAAGATTATGGAATATTAAAAACACGTGAGATTTTTGTCTCTGATTCATCTCAGGTAAATATCATTGAATGTTATCAAATTACTCTTTAAAAATGGATCTAATGTGTATGTGTGTGAGTGTATTTGTTTCAATATGCTTTTTTTTATTCATATGTTAGGGTTTAACTGCTGTACAACAGAACTCATCTTGTCTTCCTCCCGCACCTTGTCCTTCAGAAGTCCAGACAGAGCCTCGTGAAACCTTAGAATACAAAGCAGCTCTTGAGCTAGAAATGTGGAAGGAGAGGCAAGAAGACATTTTTGAAAATCAGGTTACTTTTTTTTTTTTTTAATATATTTTATTGATTTTTCACAGAGAGGAAAGGAGAGGGATAGAGAGTTAGAAACATCAATGAGAGAGGAACATCGATCAGCTGCCTCCTGCACACCCTTACTGGGGATGTGCCCGCAACCAAGGTACATGCTCTTGACCGGAATCGAACCTGGGACCTTTCAGTCCACAGGCCGGCGCTCTATCCACTGAGCCAAACCGGTTAGGGCCAGGTTACTTTTTAAACATTACTTTAAGCCTCTATTTTTAACTACTTAGTATGTTTTTCCTTCTCCATACTAGGCTTTTACTATGTTCCATGGTCCCCTACTAGTCCCTTTGAATATCAAGAATACCTTACTCCTAAAGAAAAATTGAGAATAAAAAAACAAAAAACAGAAGCCACTCAGAAGGATTCCCTCAACTTTGTCTCTGATCTTAAGCAAATTAGAACTGAAGGTTAGAGATCAGAGATTGACTTGAAGGTTTCTTTTCATTTCGGTCCTCATTTAGTATATCCTCCTGGAACATGGAATTATCAGTCTCTGAACAAGAGAGTTAGAAAACACAACTTACCATGTACTCCCCTGAATTATATGGGTACTACTTGCCTCAGGCATCTTTTAAAACATAAAATAGAACACCTGAAATAAACATATCAGTGATCATTTAATTTTTAACTGATAACAACTGATTTGTTTACTTGAAATATTTAGGATTTTTGTCTGACTTTATTTTTCTTCCTTTTGTAGCTAAAGCAGAAAGAACTAGCTCATATGCAAGCTCTTGCGGAGGAATGGAAGAAAAGGGATCGAGAGAGAGAATCACTAGTAAAGAAAAAGGTAGTAACATGTATAGAAATTGAAGGGGAAAGGAATAAAATTATAGTGTCTTTTATATGTATTTTTGAAATTGTGTGTGTTTTGAGTTTGGGAAAAAGATAAGGTAGCTTTTATTATTTTAGGTGGCTGAATATACTCTTCTGGAAGGAAAACTTCAAAAAACCCTAATTGATTTAGAGAAGAGAGAGCACCAGCTGGCCATTACAGAATCAGAGGTACTGTATTTGTCAAATACCTTTATTTCACAGAATCCATGTTAGGTTAATACCATTCATTCCTTTTTAAAAAAATATATTTTTTATTGAATTTATTTTAGAGAAGAAGGGAGAGGGAGAGATAGAAATATCAATGAGAGAGAATCGCTAATCAGCTCCCTCCTGCATACCCTCACAACTCAAGCATGTGCGCTGACTGGCAATCATTCCAGCTACCTCTTGGTGCATGGGTCAACGCTCAACCACTGAGCCACATAGGCGGGGCTTCATTTCTTTTTTCTTTGTACTTATATAAAATGTATTTCATAGAAGTTGTCTTCCAGACATTATGGAGAACAACTGGGTAAAGAATGTTTTATGTTTTAGAAGGTGAGGAATAGAAAATGCTTATTGTTTGAAATGGTTAACTATTATTCACCCAGTTTGGTTAACTCCTACAATAGTGGAGATATTTGGTTAACTTTCCCATTATGTAAACTTTATATGGATAGTTACCCTACCTAGAGAAGAGAGAAAATGTAGTATAGGTTCAGGGGTCTAATATCCTGATATGGTTTTCAGTATGAAGGAAATATCCCACATTCTTGCTCATTAAAGATTAGATCCAAAAATAAATGAGTACTAGGCTTAGTTAACATTTTTGTTAGGTCCTATTAAATTTTAACCTAAATACTTTTTTAAATTATTGTAAAAGTTGTTTCAAAATAATTAATATTCTTCCACATTAAATTTATATGCTCCTTCCCTACCCAAATTTGTTTCTTAAAGTTTCCTCAGCATATCACCCTAACCTTATCTTTATTCATTTTCTGGGATTTGAGTTAGACGTTTAAACTTGTATATTTGTTCCTAATACTTAGAATCTGTTACCTTCTGTGTGAATGGGTGGAAAATAAAAATAAAACATTTCTAAAAGAAGAAAAGGAACTTTTGCTTATATATTAAAATGGGTTTATTTAAATAGGAATTTTTAGTGATTAGGGCATTTTCAGTTGAATTTATAGAGGTCATATATTGATTTTTGTATATACTTTGTATAAGAATTAAATGATTGAAAATAATGTAAGTATTCTGAACATTTGACTATATATATGGATAATAGAATATTGAACAGTATAATGTAGCTCATAATAGGCCAACCTCTTAAAGATGCACTTGTTTTAAGCTTCAACAAGAAAGAAGGGAACTGAAATCAGAACGTGAACAGAACCTGCAAGAACTTCAGAACTCTATCCGTAGGGCCAAGGAAGATTGTGTTCACCAAGTAGAACTGGAAAGGTTAAAGATCAAGCAGCTAGAAGAGGACAAACACCGACTTCAGCAGCAGGTTGGATGAAATACCTGTCATCTCTTTACACTTAGAGTTTATTTGCATCTAGAAATAATTGGTATAATTCACTAAAAAGTTATAAAAACTCACAGTAATTTGGATGATTAATATTTATTGGAGAGCTTCAAATATACTTTAAGTTGGATCTTCTTTTTCTAAGTCAAAGCTAAGGACCATATTGGAATAATTTTTCTTCCCTTACAATTATTTGCATGAAATTGTACTATATTTCAGATAAATCTCAGCTTAAAATTATTTTCTGATAAATCACCTTTTAGCAAACATGCATAAACTTCCTATCACTGGACTGAATTCAGTTAAGAATCAAATTTCATGAGAGAATTGTCTCTGCTCTTCATTTCCTCACCTTATACTCACCTCACAACACATCCCCATTGCTCCAGCCAGCCAGTTGTCAAAGAAGTCACTACATTCAGTGGGCATTTTTCATTCTTATCTTACTCAGACTTATGGACAACATCAACACTGTTGTCCTTGTTTTTGTATATTATCTTCTCTCGACTTCTCTAACACCACTCTCCTTGCTTTCCTCTACTTTTCTGGCCACCCCTCAGGCTCCTTTGCAGGCTTATTTTCCTTTAGTAAATGTTAGACCTCCTTTAAGTTCAAAACTTACTTTGTACTAAATAATCTTATTAATGTCCATGGAACGGAGACAATCTGTACCTCTTGGACTTTCACATGTATATCCCAGACCTTTCCTCTACACTGTAGACCAATAAATCTGCTTTTTTGATATCTCTAATTGGATATCTAAAGTCATTTAAAACCCAACATGATCCTCCCATCCATGTCTGAGCTTTTTGTAAGTCAAGCATGTCAGACTCACGGGCCGCATGCCTTGTTTATTTGGCCCGTGTTAGCCTTTGAGTTTGACATGCTTGCTGTAAGTGTTCTTTATTTCTGTTCTTCCTATTGCAACCAGAGTGATATTTTTAAAATTTGGGAATCATGACACCCTCCTGTAAAACCTTTCAATGTCATCTCACTGCTCAGAATAATTACCTTGCTGTACAAGCCTCTGCAGAGCTTGGAACCAGCCTATCCCTCTCACCTTTGTCCTGTGCTCTCCAGCCACACTGGTTTCCCTTCAGGTTCTCAAGCATGCTGAGCTTCACCATAGGATCTTTGTGTGTGCTACACTCATCCTTCAGTTTTCAGCTGAAGCATCAATTACTCGGGGAGCAGGGATCAGGGACAATTTCCCTAAGTTTTTGTTATATATTTTCATAGGATATTATTCTCTCATTCTTTTTCTTTATGACATGTTAGAGCAGTTTTATTATTTTCATTAGTGTGATAATTCGATCAGTGTCAATTATAAATCAAAACAGTTATATGGAGTTAACAATCTGTATACCTAGAGCCCAGCTAGTCTTGATCGAATAATTGGGGCTTAATAAATATTTGCTAAAAAAAAAAGAATCAAGCTGTTAAATGTTAAATATTAAGCTTATCTTTCTTGAAAAATTTCATTGTAGATTAGATATGTATGATGAATGCCTCCAAAGTCTTCAGTAAATTCTGACATGAAGGATAGCTTCCATAGCAGTTCAGGTCACATTATTTAGTGGTTGTAAATATGAATTTGATTGTTATTATGGAGATCTCATTTAAGATAAAGTTGCAAAAGTAGGCAATCATGATGGGATTTACCAAATGCTTTTCCCACTTGTCAGAAAGATTCAGCCATCTAGAACCAAAGCTCCTAACGTGTTAATCACCAGCGGAGTTCTTGAAAAAAACTTCGGTCTCTACCTTGTCCCAGACTGCTATAATGAGCTTATGGGAAGAACTGGTATTTTAGAAGAATTACCCAGGGAACTCTTAAAACATAATCTAAAGACCTGGGGAAAAACTGTGGGGACTGCAGAAATTTCTGAGATGCCCGTGTTGCTAAGCTCATGACTATAATACATGTTATATTTTCTTTGTATGAAAACAAAATTTTTAGGCCTACTCTGAACCAGCTTACATGTATTATATGTATAATTCTAACTAGACAGGTAGAAGGACTGATAGTAGTTACCAGAACTCAAAAAATCAATGTAGTTTATGGGCCACTCAGCAAAGGAAAAAAAGCCCACTATGCCTAATAGCTTATTGCTTTACAACCTGATTGTAACCACAGTAATGGTGTATGATAATGTCCCTGAATGGTAGGAAAAAATATTTGACCCAACCCCTTCATAGTTATAATCTTTAAATTACCTTAAGTTGTAAGAGTGTTTGAATTATGAAATTCATATAGTATCTAATTTTAAGAACAATAAATACTGCATTAAAATTAAACTTTTCATTGATAATAATCTGCTATATCTGTAATCTTTTCTTACATGTAACATCTTCATCTGCTATATCTGTAATCTTTTCTTACATGTAACATCTTAAGTATCAGTATTTTTATAAGGTAACTTAACAAAAATGGTCTCATGATACTGGTTTTATAAGAAATTCCATACTCTTAAAAAGTTTTGTATATTGTTAGTCAGTTGATTTACTAAATTTTTAGGATTACTAGAGATCTTTGTACTGTAAACATGTTTAGAATAAGAAAAAATGAGATTGTTGAATTAAATTCTGTAATATTAAACTTTACATCTTTTTTTTTAGTGGCTGTAATACTTTTTTTTTTTTTAAATACAGCTTAATGATGCTGAAAATAAGTATAAGATTTTGGAAAAAGAGTTCCAGCAGTTCAAGGATCAGCAAAGCAACAAACCAGAACTCCGCCTACAGTCTGAAATAAACCTTCTCACCTTGGAAAAGGTACCCATGTCAATTTATACCCACTTAATTAGTCCTAACGATCAACTTATGAAGTCAGTAGTGACACTTACATATACACTGTAACATTTCACTGAAGTATTCTGACACCAGATAACACATCAAAGAATTCAAGGCTGAAGAAGCAGTTTCAAAATATGGGCAGGAACCAGCGTGAGCAAGGCAAGGCCTGCTCTGTCACAAAAGTCTACTGAAGGTGCTAGGTTCTGTTTTCCCTGGTTCTAGTGTCTTTCATTAAAAGTATAACCAGATGCCTATATTAAATGGCCTAAAGTGAGTTCTGGTTTCTTGGCAGGATACTGATTGATATAATTGATTTTTCATTAACCAGCAAAGATGTGTACTATTTATGACACCATGCTAAATGCTATTATGAATGATTCAAAAATGTTCAGAATAGAGTCAAGGAGGTTATAAAAGGAAACAAGGAACTTACCCAAATAATTATAGTGAAAGGCAAATGGTAGCAAGTATCATCTAACTTTCTCTTAATAAATGTTATGACTGCAAAAGGAAAACAAAGTCAACTCTGCAATTTAAGTATAACAAAGAAATGAAAAGGAACCCAAAGGATAGGTGAAATTTTAAATAGGTAAATATGTGGGTAAGGGTATCCCAAGGAGAGGTATTGTACTTAGGTTAAAAAGTCTATTGCATACTTGTAAAATAGCTTGACTAGAACCTAGAGTTTAATCAGTAATCAATATAGTAGTGGTTTCAAAATAAAAACAAGACTGATAAGAAAATGCGGGAAGACCTTAGATGCTAAGTTAAAGAATTTGTATTTTATCTGTAAATAGAAGTCAGAGATTATGCTCAAATTTGTAAGATTGGCTTAATAAATATTAATAGAAATGAATTTTAATGAACTTTTGGTGGAAGTTATAGAGAATTCTGATTTTGGACATATTACATTTGAGATGTTAGCCGACTAAGTGGAGAAGTTCACTAAAAATGAGAAAATATAGTAGGAAGAGAGAAATGGGTTAGACATACAGACTTGGGAGTCATTTGAATAAAGTAACATCCTTAGAATTAGATGAAATTGTTCAAGGAGCGTTTAGTAAGGAAAACTGAACATATAACTTTAAAGGGAAAGTTCAGCTTCATAGACAAAAAGCAAGAGTCAGGGAAGATGGCTAAAATGATTTAGAGAAGTAATAAATCTAGTCTAGTGTGGCACCCCCCCCCAAAAAAAGGAGTTTTAAAAATGAGGAAGTAACAGTAATCTCTCATGAATGGAAGGAAAGTCAGGAATGGTTGAGGAAAGGTCATGGGTTTGACAGTTTAAGTCACTACCTTGTAATAAGCCCAATTACAGAGTGTTAAATGTGGCATTGAAAGAAAGTGAGCCCATGGGATTGCCAATGTTGAGAAAAGCTTATGGATAAGAAATTAATAGCAAGGAGAAACTGATGGTTGTTAGTCTTTGAAAAAGAAACACCAAGAGGCAAAAAGCATGAATGCCTAGAAGATGTGGAGCTAGGAATAAGTGTGGTAAAATAAATCTTTTGAGTTAAGAAGCCTTATAACTGGTTTCTTCTAGTGTTTCTGCAGCCTATCAATTGCCTTGCTCTTCTTGATTGCAAAGTGTTGTTGATTCTGCTTTTTACATAGATAGGCAATTTCTTCATTTCTCCATTTTTGGCCTTCTCATTTCTCTACCAATGAACTTGAATCCAGTTAGCCATTTCCCACCCCTATTATGAAAAAAAAAAGTATTAAAGTATTTCTGTGTTTATAAATATGAATTCTGTGGTACTTACCAGAGATATTTAAAACATTCAGATAGTATCTCATCAATTCTCTCGAGCTGTTAAGTAGATGTCAAAGAATATTTCCATTTTACTTGGGAAATTCAGAGACCAAATATCTCAAAATTGGAGAAGCATTAACTTTTAATCTTTTCTGAATATAGACTAGATAATATAGAAATAAATTTTAAGTGATTTTTTAAATTCCTTCTTCCAACTACACTTCTACCAAAAAAGTAAAGATCACTAAACATTAAAAATATAAACAGCACCATAAATTTGAGAAGGAAAAATGCATAATTGAACCGCCTCTATATCAGACCTAATGATTTCATTCAGCATATTTCATTGCCTAGTAAAACAAGGTTACTCCCCCGCCCTGCCTCCCCGCTGTTCTGAAAGTTCTTTGTAAATTTTATTGGAGCCAGAAGAGGGCAGAATCTTATTTCTTAAGTAGTAACAAAGACATAAAAGTACAAAAAGGAAGACACAGTGAAAAGTATCTGATTAAGTCTATAATCTTGTGATTATATCTGATTGAGAGCTTTTTTTCTTTTGTGATTACCCGTGCTCTTCAGTATAACACAGATTTCCCCCATTTTGACTGAAATGGCCTAAAAAGAAATTAAGGTACAGTTTTATTACATTTAATTCTTGATTCCCTTTATTATATAAGAAGTGAATAGTTTGATTTGCTTTTAGCTAAGAAATGTCTTTTAGATTGCTTACAAATAATTGGGACTTTTAAAAATAAAATATGGAAAGCATTATAATTCAGTAGGAGATACATAAGTTGAAGACAGAAGCTAAAATTTAAGAGTATTTGATGAGTATCTGCTGTGTATTTACCCCTTAGGACAAAGGGGAAAATGAGAGAAAAGAAAAAAGTTTGTAATATAATTGGAGAAATGGCTCAGAGAGCCTTAAATAAACGTGTATAATAAAACACCAGGAATGTAATAGAAACACTTTGCAGTTCAGAAAAGAGAAATTATTTGGTGTTCAGAATACAGTAATTTTAAGAAAGCTCTGGGTCAAGGTAGTATTTGAACTGAACCTGAAGTTTAAGTTAGCAGAGAAGAAAAAGAAAGACTTGATAGGCTCAGGAAGTAATTTGGGCAAAGAGAAGGGGTGTGTAGGGGACCCTAACCTGGTGGTTGGAGTAAAGGGTTTCCTGTTGAGGAATACCAAGAAAGTAGGTTGAGCAAGTAGGATGGAAATGATATTTTGGAGTGCCTTGATACCTAGCAGAAGAGTCTAGGCTCAATATTGTGGGCAAGAAGTAGCTATTGTAGATTATTTAGTGGAGAGTGAATTGATCTAATAGTGGTTTGCAAGATTTGTGAATAGATTTGAGGCCAAGGAGAAAAGAGAAGAGCCTGAGCTAAGGAAATGGCAGTAGGAATAAAAAAGAATAAAGCTGGAAATATTTTAAGGGAGAAATATATATGACATATCAGTGCAAATGCTTCCCCAAGCCTCAAATCTACTCACAATAAGGGCCCTTAACTAGGTCTTTGATTGTGTGCGTTTTTCTGGGACTTGGGTCCATCTATTTAGAATTACAGAAGCATCTGTGTTCTTAAAAAGTTCATAATCATTGATTTGGTAATAGGAATAAATCAGAAAAGCGAGGTGTGTGTCTCAGATTTGCTAACTTTAGTCTTTTTATTTGTTAAAAAATAAAGAAATTATATGTATTGACTATACATGTGTTTTAAATTAGTTTGAATAACTACCGGTATGCAAATGTGAATTATTTTGATAATCATGGCAAAGCCAATGTAACCTACCCAGACAGCTTTTTTCTGATGAAGTCAGTCCATTGGGTTTAAGTATTCCCTCTAGGTTCATCCCTGTCCTAACCCTCAGCTTTGGGCCCACCTAAGACCTATGGACATGATCACTTTTATTGCTGAAGGCTACTTTTTTACCTCACAGCTATAAAATGATTTTTCCTGTTCCTGACCTATGTCCTATGTCCTTGTTAAATTACCAGCTAATATGTATAAATCTTTAGGTGTAAGTGGAAGAGATCATCTTTGACAATCTTAGCGTATTATTCAATTTAAGAGGCATGAGTCTAGTTGTGAAATGTCAACACATTTAAATCCAAGCACTAGGGATTTGTAAAGCAGTAAAGACCTTGACTCCATTAAGTCGTATATTACTGCAGAGAATGTTCTGGGCTCTTGTGAAGGGAATTTGGCAATCTGCTCTTCCTTTCATTTTATTTTCATGAGTTTTTTGAAGTTTGAATTTTTGGATAGTGTCTTTAGTTTTATTTTTCTGCAAAACATTAGAAATTGTGAGTATGGGAAAAACTTGACTTCATATAAAAAAATTAGACCAGTTTAGAGTAACAGTATTTTACTCTAATTCAGGCCCATTATTACATTATCGTTTAACTAGTAAAACTGTCTGTTGGCAACATCAATTTGTTTGGTACTTGGGTTGAAACACTGAGAGAGGACATTCCATAACATAGCCAAGTTGGCTTCAGTTCATGCACAACACATTGCCTGCTGCAAGTATAAATAACCTTATTTTTTTAATTGAATCACTTTCATGTTTTTCTTTATATATTTGAGGAAAAATAGAAAATAAATGTTAGGTAAGTGTTACTAGGAGCATTATTTGTCTTTCATTTGGTTTCTTTTATCATTCTTAAAATATTTTTTTACTTTGTCCTCTTTCTTAGTAAACTGCTTTCTGATTAAACATTTCACTGTTTTCGGCATTCTATGATTTTTGCCAAAATATAGTTATAAAAGAATCTAATAGCTTTCTTTGTTATAAGACAAAATTCCACATAATGAAAGGCCTCCAAAAGGAATACTTTGTTTTCTAAGATTTAGAGTACCAAGTAAATTGGAATGCTAACAGAACTGCTTTTTGTTAAAAAAAAAAAAAAAAAAGTATTTTTCATTCTATCATCTTTATGCAATATACATGTTTTAAGTACATTTATAGTAACTGTCTGGAGGTTAAGACTAATTCAGTTCCTTTTAGTATGGGCTGTTAGGCAGTAAAAATACGACTATATTTTAAACAAGAAAATGTTCATGTGCCATAATATTTATAGTAAATTATATAACAGTTTTAGATGATGTCGTATGTTACACTACATAAACTCTTTTCTTAAGCCAGACTCTTTGTATATATTATCTTTCAGTGATTGTACACAATGGTATAGTGTTTCACTTGATATGATTTTAATCACTGTTAGGTTGAACTTGAAAGAAAGTTGGAATCTGCAACTAAATCTAAACTGCATTACAAGCAGCAATGGGGACGAGCTTTGAAAGAACTTGCCAGACTTAAACAGGTATGTAGTTTATAATTAATGATGGATTATTCTTTTTATGTCTTTTTCCCTTGATTCTTTACAAGTTTGCATATTTGGCAATACCTGTTATGTCAGATAAATGTCTGCATTTGAATCTCCAGTGCTATTTTTGAGATTGGGCTTTGTGTGTGTTATATATAAGATCCTCCTTTTTTTAATTAAAAATTGAAACTTTTAGGTTATTTTCTTTAATTGCCAACTGTCCTCTTTCCTAGAAGAAATTGGACAATTTATTTTACTTATACAACTACCATTCTTTTCTTCAGCATTAATTTTTTTCTATTGTGAGTACGTTTGAAGGGAGAAATTTCAGGATAACTTAAATTTAACGTTCTCAAATTTAAGAACATACTTTAAATGTTATTCCTAGGAAGACACAGGTAACTTATTCAATTAAGGAAGGAATCACAGGGAATATTTGCATAATTTTATGAGTTTAAAAGTGATAGTTTTCTGAATTCTTAATTGAATTTTTACCCCTCCTGTTGCTAGATAGCATATGCTATTAGCCTCATGAGAAATATATCTTAATGTTAGGTATAATTTCTTCAAGTGATTAAGATCAAATAAATCATTAGCAAGATTTTTTTAATCTAATCTACTTTGACCTAAAACTCATAAGGATCAATAATGGTTAGCTTTAGCTAAAGAAGGTCTTTCAGATTTATGTATCTCCATAAACATCAAATGCTATTAAATATCTTTGTGATATTGTACTAAATGCTTATAACCTTCATAAAGGAGTATGTACTAAACTGCATGAGAATAAATAAAGAAAATTAGGAAGGTTGAGAACCACTGGTCTATACCAGTGATGGCGAACCTATGACACGCGTGTCAGAGGTGACATGCAAACTCATTTTTTTGGTTGATTTTTCTTTGTTAAATGGCATTTAAATATATAAAATAAATATCAAAAATATAAGTCTTT